AGAACATTTGAAGGTAAGTGAATGACGATTCACTAGTTTCCACCATGAAAAACGAAAAAGAAATTTAAGTTTTAAATCTATGAAAACTCCTGGATCCTTTGAGATTCATTGAACATTTCAATGGCATGTTTAAATCTCGATATGCCCCTCTTGTTTGTGACTGCGATGCCGAGGATCACAAAGCGGGTGTGAATAACCATGCAAACTACATGGTGCCCTCACATGTTACAATCACCTATTTGATGTGCCGGTAAACCACACACGCTCCACCGAACTATGACAAACATTGAGTCACCCTTTGCTACCTTTGCTTAGAACCATTAGTGTGCCGGTAAACCACACACGCTCCACTAACGTCTTCGCAAGGGCACAAAGTGTAATTTCATGGAATTGCATCAATTCACTTTTGCCTAAGTAACTAAGATTGGGAATTTGAAAAACATTTAGTTACTTTGTATTTCGTTATACTTATAATGGAAGGTTTCGTCCTATCCTACCCGTTCGGCTAACGACCCTCCACTAGTCAAGAGTGCGGTGGGTAAGAGTGGATACCCATTCAATCGCCATTTTATAGGCAATTTCCTTAAACACCCCTTATAGACCAGCTTCGTGAATGAGGCCTACTAACGGTAAGACTGACTTTTACTCATACATATATATAATGTTAGACTTTTAATGTTTATATATAGTATAGGGTGTATTTTATACTTTTAAAATATTATATGGTTAACTTTAACAATTACACTTTTAATTCAATTAAAAAGGTTAACCTAAACTTTTATGGATTTATTAAACCTCTTTTAATTATACTCCTTAATTAATTAATAAAACCATAAGGGTGTGATTTGAACTTTTCAAAACATTACCAGAGTTTTAGAATTTAACATTTCTAATTAAACTTTTAATCAACTTTTATATTAATTAAACAATATGATTTCTCCTTTAATATATTATTCTCATAATACATTAATAAATCATATTTAATCCCTACTCTCCATAAATCATCCTATCAAGTTGCTTTGGTGAAGGCAACCCAAAAGGACCATGCACCATCGGGTCAAGTACATACCAAAATACTTATGGACTTAGACACTAATCCAACAGAAACAAGCACAAAAACGAAATCAATTGGTAAAAACATAGTTCAAACAAGAGATTAGGTAAGAGTAAACTTGATTTTGACTTGATTCTTCTTAAAATTGAATGTAGGGTTGATTCCCTTGCTTCCCACGCTCCAGCAGCACCTTTAGTCGACAATTGGCCTTCAAGGGTTCATCTATATGCTAGGGTATCGATCTGAAAGTCCCTTTATATAGATTTTCACAAAACAGGGGCTACTCGGCGAGTCCAGTGACCTACTCGGCAAGTCCATCACTTAAAACCCGTGTACGGCAAGTCAGCGCGTCCAAAATCGCGAAACTTCTGACCAACTCGGCGAGTAATCGACCCTACTCGCCGAGTACGTTTCGAATCAGCATTTTCTCAAAACACGAAAGTCATCCGAAATTGTGTCTACTTTTCAGAACATTTTGAATCTCGTGAATCGGAGTTATGGTTCATAAGATATGGCCAAAACACTGACGAGGGGTCAAGCTGTCCAGCAACGTCCTTCTTTCTTCAAAATCCAAGATCCAAGCGTCCAATCGCCAATTCCGATTCCTTTTCCACCCGAGCATGTCATTGTTGCTGAAAAATGAAATTATAAACTAATTAAGCACCTTTTGTTCATTAAATGAGATAAAATCAACATAAAGTATTAAGATAATGCATGAATTTTATAACTAAATATGCCCATGTCAGGTATGCAGGTTAGAGTACCAGTAGGTTGGTGATCGTATAGTGGAGTGCCTTAAGGGTTGTATGTAGTCACGTATGATATCATGAGAACTCTTGATCTAAGATTTCTTGCATGTTATTTGTTTGGTTGTGGTTCTAGAATGGGATCACCTATTCGAATGTCTTTCTCACCCCTGCTTACATATAGCTATGCATTCCTTAGAGACATGTTGATAATGACGTAATGTATTATATAAGTCCTGGTATGCATGTAACACCCTGTTTATTAAATAAATAAACTAATGAATGTATAGTAGCCCTAATATATATATATATATATATATATATATATATATATATATATAGCAAGGTGTTGGTCTCGAGGAGCTAATTATTACAATTTTAGAAGTTGGGGGTTAAAGTGTAAGTTTCAGATTAGATTCGTAAATATTTATGAAGGCAGGGACTAATTGGCGAATTATTAAGACTCAAATTGAAGAGATTTTGGAAGCTTAGGGGTTGAATGGTAACATATGGACTTCAATTGAGAACAATTTATAGAAGTGGGGTTGTTTGGTAAAAGTCGGACTTAATTTGCAAAGGATTTCAGGGGGCAGGGTTTAAATGGTAAATTATAGACTTCTTTTGGAAATATTTTATAGAGGAGGGACTGGAAGCGTCATTATGGAAAAGATGTTTTAAGGGATGGGGTATTTAATCGATACCATCTTAAGTCCATAACCTAACCCTAAAACTATGAGCAGCCGTTACCTCCCCTTTATGTCTCCCTCTTCCATTCACCGCACCGCCCTTACACCACTCTTCACCATCGACGCTGCCACAACTGTTGGGATCGGAAAAATCACCGCCACCTTGCCATTCCGATCAACTAGCGGTCGCATCTTCTCTCTACGTTGCCACCCTCCTTCTCCTCTAAGCCGCTGCTTCCAGCTTTCTCGTCGCTGCCGTTCGTGGCTCCAGCTGCCGCCATCGATGCCAAGCCGGAAAAATCACTGGGATATGTTGTGTTGCCATTCCTACCGTGGCTGCTTTACTGGAAATCAAGAAGAAACACTGCCACCACCGTGAGATGGTGGTTGATAGTGCAACAACCGCCAACCACCACGTTAGGTGGTTGTGTTCATATATGTATGTGTGTTTTGGCATGGACTGTTTATGTAGGGTCTAGTGTATGAAATTCTTGGTAAAAATTGCCACCATCATCACCACCTGCCACCACCAACCACCACTAGGGTGGTTGTGTGTGTGTGTGCCTTATAGGGATTTTGCTTTGTATGTTGTAATTTGTAACAAAATAATCATGGAATACTCAAAACCACCACTGTGAGGTGGTGGCAACCGTCTCTTGCCGCCGCCAACAGGCGTGTTAGGTGGCGGTGTGCTTTTGCTTGCGTATAGTTGATTTTCGGATGCTAGGACAAAATGGACTAGAAACCCTAACCACCACCATGAGGTGGTGGCCGCTGCCGAGCCACCGTTGACCACCACTTCCCGAGGTGGTAATGGATGGTGCCCAACTAGCGAAACCCTAATGGGCCTATTAAAACCCTAATGGGCCTTATAAAACCCTAATGAGCCCAATGAATCCCAAAGTGATCTAAAAGCTTAACCATGTGACTAATTGGCTAGTATTTGGGTTGGAAACCCTAATTAAGGTTTGGAAAACCCTAATGTCATGAAACCCTAATTTTAGGGATTGATCGGGACCCGTACTGGAATTACTTGCTAAACTTAAAATAATTAATTAGTAACCATTTGCAATTAATCTAAGACAATATTGGACTTAATGGATTAAGTCCTTAATGGGTTAAGTGAGAAACACTTAACCCTAATTGTCATTTTATGTGAAAAACCTTATTTCAATTGGGCCTTGAGTTGGGCCTTTCTATTAGGCTTTGGTGATTAGGATATTGATGGGCCATCCAAGAACAATCATATGGATTAAAATAATTTAATGGGCTTTAGGGTAAGGCCCATGTGAGGTTTTGGGCCAAATTTGGAAAATTAGGCCATAGTTTGGGCCTTTATGATTATGAGATATTGGACCATTAGAAATGCCAAATGTTTGGACTGGACTAAATGATTGGGCCTTAGAATCAGACCATGTGAGGGGTTGGGCCCAATTTGGAAAATTAGGCCATATGTTAGGCTTTGATTCCTAGTTTGACTTTTGGGCCTTTGGATTTGGCCTTGGACTTGAATCAAGCCAAGGTGGGGTAATGTAGCATGTTACTCTAAGAACTTACGGTCATATGTTGGGACCCAATTATTAATTGGGTGATGTTTTCATATTGACAGTTCGGGAATCTATCATCCAACAGTTGGGGTTGTCTTTGTGGGACTTCAGTAGTGTGAGGTGAGTTACCTTCCACTAGAAGTGGGTCTAAGGCCACAATGTCAGCCCACTAGTAGGAGTTGTTTGTTAGATGATTGTTTTTGTGATAATTATCTAGTATGCCATTATATGTTATGTTTGTGTACTAGGATGCTCTGTGATACATGTTATTAGTAGTAGGGGTGAAATAGTCCCCGGATACCGGTTGAAAGATACCGAAGGGGTCTTCATAACCCATGCATGCCTAGTAGTATGTTATGTTACGTTATTATGTGGTAGTGGTAGGGGTGAATTAGTCCTCGGTTACTGGTTTAAAGATACCAAAGGGGAGGTCAACTCCCGGATACCGGTTGATAGATACCGAAGGGATAGGTCGGGCACCAAGATATGCCTGACAATATATTTATGTATGTTATACTATGTTATTATGAGGTAGTGGTAGGGGTGAAATAGTCCCCGTTATCCTGTTGAAAGAGACAGAAGGGGAGACCACCACCCAGATATGCTAGGCAGTTATCCGGTTGAAATAGACCGAAGGGGAGGCCGACACCCAAATATGCTTGGCTATGTATGTTAGTGTATGGTATGTGATATGATGGGGGAAATCACCAAGCTTTGTGCTTATGGTTTTCAGTTTTGGTTTTAGGTACTTCGTTTTCAAAGGAAAAGAGTCGACTCGATTGCAGCGCATCACACTATATTTCTGCACATGAGATCTTAGGGATTACACTTTGATATTGTTTTATGATAACATGTTTTGATTATTTCTAATTTGGTTTTCGACATGAGATGTTATTATGGATGTCTTATTACTTATGGTTTTATAATAATTTATTCAAAAATGAAATTTTCATCCTTGAATTTTGGGATGTTACAATGCACTAGTGAGTTGTTAGACAGGTAGACTAGTGTAAATAGTGACATGTGTTTATATGTTTAGTTGATTGCTTGTTTATTACATATATCTACATATTGAGTGGTAGGTTGAGACGATCCTACTTTGTGGTGTAGGTCATGATACTTGGGCGGGCCAATAATAGTGTAAATAGTGACATATGTTTTCAATTTAGGTCTAAAAGCTAATTAGATTGGCTAAGTTAAAAATCATATATTAACTTTTATGACTGAAAAGTCAAACTACCAATGTCAAAGATTTTGGATTATATTATCTCTTAAAAAATAACTAAAATTTTAATTTAATTATTCTATATTAACTAAATATGAGTTTTTAAATCTATTGTTTTTGTTTAAATTAATTTTAAAAGTTATTCATATTACAAAGAATTTAAGTTAAGAATTTAAAAAACTTATGTTAAATTACGGATGTAACAATATAAATGCCGGTTATTATTATTAAGCAGCAGATTTAATTGATCAAACTCATTAAATTTTGGCAATGTGCAAATGCCATAAAAATGCAAGAAGATATCGAAAGAAAAAACTATTTATAGAGTCATTAACAACATACTAGCCCTTTTCAAAAATTTGATGATATATTCAAAGTAATGATAAAATAGGAAATTAATGTAATTTATATAATCTTTTATCAAATATATTATTACGAATGATTAAAGATAAGATATTACATATAAACAACAAATATGCTTAAATATACAAACATGTTTTTTTTTTTTTTTTTTTTTTTTTTTTTTTTTTTATATAAATAGTTTTTACCAAACACCTTAGAAAATAACTTAACTATCAATTAATAAACTAAGTCAAACATATTTTTCATTTTATCATATTTTTTGACAACTCAATCCGAAGACCCTAACTTTGAACAAGTACAACAGCAACTGAACTATTTTCGATCTTCATACGACGGAAAAGGGCAAGAGTAGTGTGGATACGCCGCGCAATTAAGTACGCCCGTGCTCCAAAATAGACAACATACTAATAACAGCTTAGAGCGTCTTGTCGGGGAAGAGTTAAGAGGAAATTGATTTGGTTTGAAAGCAAGGGCTAGGGCTTTTGATAGTAGTCGGATGTCGAACAACTACAACCATACTAAACCCTGCTTTTCTTGAATCTTGATGTCAGCGAGAATCACGAGGTGAGCGGCAAAAAGTTCGCATTTTTTTTCTTCCCCTTCTTCTCCAGTCTCTCCTTCACACATAACTGTAAATGTATGTATGCATGGTTGAAAAATTAAACATTTCTGTTGTTAATCGTTAGAGTTGATCGGTTTTACCAGAAATCGACACTGATTCTCAGTTGTTTTTGGTGAAATTGTGTCAAGTTTTTTACCCAATTCAAGAAATTTCGGTTACATTCTTGAAAATTTCTGTTCTTGCTACGTAACTTTGTGAATCGCAAGGTACCCTTTACGAGTACATGTCTGATCACGCTAACCCTCTTTATGGGATTTCTGGAAACTCAATTCTTGCTATTTTTAATCCAGGTTGGGTCAGAATTTGGGACTTGTCACGTGTTGATATCGGAAAGGAAAACTTATCATTCAACTGTAGTGTCTCAAATGGAACCTATAGCTATCAGTTCAACAGACAGCGAGTCTAGTGATTGGGATCTAGATCTGTATAAAGCAATTAATGCATCACAGTTAGAGGATTCAGCTTCTTCATTTCCTAATTCCAGGGGTGATCGTTTTCTTTCACTGCCATCTTCATCCGGGATAAATAATACAGGTAAAGAAAATACATCATCTTGATTAGTACTTAGGAGACCTATATATATATATATATATATATATATATATATATATATATATATATATATATATATATATATAGTTATTTAACTTATTAAGTCTTTATCTATATATTCTAGGTCTGCAAGGAACAATTCAACCTGAAAGAAAACCTTCTCAGAATGGACACTCATCTCATTCTAATCATGATATGGAGGATGACCAGCTTCAGATTCTATCCAGTTTTGGGGGTAATAATTGATATATCTCCTTAACATCATCTTGATTTCTGAATCGACTTCCATTTTTAGCACAAGATTTGATAAACAGTTATTTGTAACAGATTCCAAAAGAATACTTCCACCATCCTTTCCACAATCTTCATCAAGTTCCAGGCAAATTGTTCCTCCAAGAGGTGTAGGCAGCAGTCAAACTCGTGAAACATATGGAAAGACTTATCCACATCAATGGCCAAATCATGTAAAGGCTCACATGGAAGAAACTTTCAATAGGGCTAGTAATGATGTGATGAAGGACAACCATGTGAGTAGGGTTCTACCTTCATACATGAATCCTATCTCTGTTCCAACTTCACAATATGGAGCTCAATCTGATCTTTATCGCCCTGGTGTGGTTGATGAACAAGCAGCTGTTGATGAAAGGCTTATTTATCAAGTAGCATTACAGGTATGAGCTTCTCATTTTATAAACAAGTCATCATCTTTCTAGTGATACACTATTTTACTGATATATTGCTTAAAACTGAAAAAGATATGTTTTCTTTTATTTTTTATTTCAGGATCTTAATCAAAAGTTGCCTGAAGCAGATTTACCCGAAGGTCTTATGTCTGTATCTCTTTTAAGGCACCAGGTTTTCTACTCACTCGATCACAAAAAAAAGTTCTTTACTTTATTATATTTAGTTATTTATGCCTCTATATATGTTTTAATTATGTGTTTCTAGAAAATTGCATTGGCATGGATGATTCAAAAGGAAAAGAGTGTGGCGTGTTCTGGTGGAATTTTAGCTGATGATCAGGTCTTACACTCTTACTATTTGCTTCCTGCTTTGTAGTTGTTGTTGTTGTTGATTGATTAAAAATTTAGAATCACACATTGACATACTTCTTTTTTTTAAAATCTTTTTCCATAGGGTCTTGGTAAGACCATTTCGATGATTGCACTCATACAGAATCAGAAATTTTTATCAAAACCAAAATCAGATGAATCTTTAAAAGCTGAAGCTTTGAATTTAGATGATGATGATGGAAAAGATACAGTAGTTGTAGATGAAGAGAATCATGAAGTAAAGTTAATAACCGAAGCCAGCACCTCAACACAAAATTTTCACAACCGAAAACCTGCAGCAGGATCACTGGTTGTGTGTCCTGCAAGTGTTCTAAGACAGTGGGCCCGTGAACTCGATGAAAAAGTTCCAGATGAAGCTAAGCTTGATGTTCTAATCTACCATGGTGGAAATAGAACCAAAGATCCTGTTGAATTAGCAAAGTATGATGTGGTTCTTACTACATATGCCATTGTAGCAAAGGAAGTCCCAACTAAAGTGTTTGATGAAGAAGATGATGATGATCAAAGAACTGGGGACAGATTTGGAATATCTTCATCTTTTGCTAATAGGAAAAGAAAAGGGGTTAATGGTGGTAAGAAAAAGAAGGGTAGAAAAGGAATTGATGGTTCTATTATTGATTGTAGTGGAACTCTTGCTAAAGTGAATTGGTTTAGAGTGATATTGGATGAAGCTCAAACCATAAAGAATGCTAGAACACAAATGTCTAAATCTTGTTGTGGACTTAGGGCTAAAAAACGATGGTGTTTATCAGGGACACCTATACAGAACTCCATTGATGAAGTTTTTAGTTATTTTAGGTTTCTGAAATGTGATCCGTATGCAAATTATAAATCTTTTTGCAATCAGATTAAGATCCCAATATCCAGAAGCTCTGAAACAGGTTATAGGAAACTTCGAGCTGTTTTCAAGGCTATAATGCTTCGTCGAACAAAAGGTAAAGTTTTTTTGAATTTTTTTATTACCATTATTCTTATTTATAAGTGTCTGAATACATTAAGTCCATTTTTTTTTGGCTTAACTCAGGCACTTTGATCGATGGTCAACCTATTATCAACTTACCTCCAAAAACCATAAACTTGAAAGCAGTTGACTTTTCAACTGAAGAACGAGCTTTCTATCAAAAACTTGAAACAGAATCACGTTCAAGATTCAAGGTACTTTTTGCTTTTTCTCTTAACTTCTAAAAAGTTTGACCTAAACAAATCCATTTCAAATATTTTTTTTTTTCAGGCATATGCAGCTGCAGGAACTGTAAGTCAAAATTACGCAAATATCCTTCTGATGCTTCTACGCCTTCGACAAGCATGTGATCACCCTTTACTTGTGAAAGGATTCAGCTCAGAATCTGTTAGCAGAGTCTCCACAAGAATGGCAAAAAATCTCCCAAAAGACATGCAATCCAATTTGTTAAACCTTCTAGAAACCCTAACCATATGTCACTTATGTAAAGTAAGTTAAAGTTAACTACCCTTATCATTATCATTCTTCCAAAAGCAGAATACCATTTTCCCATTGTTGACATTTTTACCCTACAGGATCCACCTGAGGATGCTGTGGTTACCCTATGTGGACACGTGTTTTGTTATCAATGTGTGTCAGAATACTTAACAGGAGATGACAACACGTGTCCAGCTCCCAAATGCAAAAGCCAAATTGGTGCAGATGTTGTTTTCAACAAAGCTACTTTAAGGAATTCAGTCTTTGGTGGTGATGATGATGATGATTATCATGGTGCGAGTTCTTCAAGAATCGATGCGAAATCGATTGTTTTACAACAAGATTATAGTTCTTCAAAAATCAGAGCTGTTTTGGAGATCATTCAGTCGTTTACAGGAGCATGTTCGAGTTCTAGTTCTAGTTCTAATGTTGGTGAAGGACCAGTTAAAGCTATTATTTTTTCCCAATGGACACGAATGTTGGACCTTGTTGAAATGTCACTTAATCAGTATTGTATAGTGCACAGAAGACTTGATGGATCAATGTCTTTGGCTTCTAGAGATAGGGCTGTTAAAGAATTCAACACTGATCCTGAGGTTCACTTTTTCACATCCTACTTCATACTTTTATAGTTTATACTTAAAGAGTAAATTACAGTTATGGTCCCTAAGTATAATAGCTGATTTTTGCAATTTCAGTCTTTATTTGAGGTTTTTGGTGCACATTCTAAGTAAACTGACTATTTTTAGTCCTTGAGTGTAGCTGATTTTGACAAATTTGGTCCCAAAAACGTTAAGTAAGAACCAAAATTGCAAAAATCACCTTTTCTCGGGGCCTAAAATGTTATAAAAACCTCAAATAAGGACCAAATCTGCCAAGAAAAAACTTTTTTGGACCAAAGTTGCAAAATTCAGCTATACTCAAGGACCAAAAACCTCAAATAAGGAACAAAATTGCAAGAGAACTTGTTTGGACCAAATTTAGAAAAATCATCAGGGACCAAAAATGTTACATAAACCTCACATAAGGAGTAAAGTTGGAAGAGAACTTTTTGGACCAAAATTGCAAAAATCATCTATACCGAGGGACCAAAAGTATAATCTAGTGTTATGTTTATGTAAATTGAGAAATGTTGCATGCAGGTGATTATTATGTTGATGTCACTGAAAGCAGGGAATCTTGGTTTAAACATGGTGGCAGCATCACATGTTATTCTTTTGGATCTTTGGTGGAATCCAACTACTGAAGATCAAGCCATTGACCGAGCTCATAGGATCGGTCAAACCCGTCCTGTGACAGTTTCAAGACTCACCATTAAAGATACGGTTGAGGACAGAATTCTTGCTCTCCAGGTTCGTTTCAACGGAATCAACCATTCCATTCCTTTTCCATGATTCCGTTCCATCGACTCTGTCTGTGTGTGTGTGTGAGAGTTGAATTGAATTGATGAAAATTTGGTGAATGTAGGAGGAGAAGAGGAAAATGGTGGCTTCGGCTTTTGGTGAGGATCAAAGTGGAAGGTCGGGCCCTCATTTGACTGCAGAAGATCTGAGATATTTGTTCATGGGGGCGAATCAACCTGTTTAGATTTAAGTTAAGTGGTGGAAAGCTATATGTAAATAGTAGTAGTAGTAATTGGTATTGATGTAGAGAAGGAAAAGGTTATATGTTTCTATACCTAACTTTGAATGTGCTTTTATTCGGTTAACTTTATGTTTCGGATTTATTGAGGAGTCACACTGGGCGGTTAATTCGGTCCGATTTTGGTTACAAAAATATAAAGTTATATAGTTGTAAAACGTAAATATATAATTGAAATACATAAACATATCATCCAGATTGTTTCTAACCTAATATAACTTTTGTAAAACCTAAATATATCATTGAAACAACATGGGGAAACTCCAATAAATGTAAATCTTGCATAATTTGTGTTTCCTTCTTGAATGTTGGTAATAAAGTTTTAGCCAGTTTCTTCGATATTGATATCAGTATATGACAACACTTTAGCTAATTTTTTTTTCCTTCTGTCATCCAAAATCTCGTGTTCCATCTCGGTTAACCCTTCTTCAAGGTCACCTTCTTTTAATATCGTGTCACTAAAACAAAGACAACTTATAGTAGCTAAGAATTTATACTGACTAACTTATGTTCTTTCACAAACAACCAACGATTAATATAGATGATTAAACGTTCATATGTCGTGAAAATAATAAATCCAATTGTATTATTATTGTTACCAAGTTTCGTCAAGGAGTAAAAGGCGTAAATAATAAATCCAGTTATATTATTATTGTTATCAAGTTTTGTCAAGAAATCAGATCGATCATTCGCGCGAGAGAGAGAGAGAGAGAGAGAGTGTGGGCTTTGTCCATCCCTTGATCCACTAAAGCCTTTGCAGGTCTATAAACTCACTAAATGTTTCTTCCTCAATCGATATTGGATAATGAAAACTAGCCAACTTGTTTATTCCATTAAATTTCCAACAATTAAAATATCAAAGCTTATGAATTATTTGAGAGTTATATTAAAATATCATTGTTGCTAAGACAAAAACAACATTCCAAAGTTCCTCCCAAAAAACGATTAAATTCTTGAAAGTTTTGATTGAGAAACTTTTGTAGCCATGACGTGCCGATACTCGTTAAATTCTCTTGAAAGTAGACAACATATAATAAAACTCTACATATCCAATACAATCTTTTAGTGAAACATTAATCAATCGTCCAGGAAAGATACATAGTAATTGAAAATGACATTACTGTAACTGTACATAACAACCTATATAAACATAACAACTTCCATTTGATAAAACACCAAGTAAACATTAACCATATCTATATGATTGATTCCATTTCGTATACGGCCCAAGTCCAATGAGAAAAAGAGTTAATGGGTCGTTTGATAGTTGCGGACTGAGAAAATGCTGATTGAGAAATGTCTGAGTAATAAATTCTAACCGAGTAACAAGCTATGTTGTTTGATTGTACATCTGATTGAATATGCGATGCAAAATGACCATTTTACCTTATGCTCTTTATAATAATAACAACAACAACAACAACAACAACAACAATAACAACAACAACAACAACAACAATAATAATAATAATAATAATGTATACAAAAGCTTCCAACACAATAGACATTAAATATACTATTTTAGAGATTAAAACACAAAAAACTCTCTAGCTTGCTAATATACACCATCGTTTGTATAGGGGAAACATGAGTTAGTTCTCGTAACCTCCCATTTCACTTTCTTGAGCTACAAATTTTTATCCAAGGGCAAGGGTATTAGTGGAAAGCCTTGCTTCCTTTCTCAATCAACCATTTTCCAACTCTTTTCTCGTCAAACATTTCTTACCAAAAACGTCTGACTTGACTCAGTCAGACCCATATCAAACGGTGCCTAAGCGTTGTTGTACTTTCGGTTCTAGTCAACCAACTCATTTTTTCTATGTTTACATGTTATCTAAAGTTGAACAAGTTAGCATTTTTTAATTTTACACTTTTGGGCTATATTTAAATTTTTTTACAAATTTATTTGAAAAATTAAATTTTATTAAAAATTCATCCCAAATTTAATTTAATTCACATAATTGGTTTTTCCAAAAATTTTTAATAAGTTTTACAACTTTTTTCTAAGTTATTTATTGGTTTTTTAAATACAACGTCTTAATTTGGGTTACAGTATTTTAAACTTTTTCTGCACTTTCATATGATTTCATACAACTTCTTCTAAATCAAGTATCTTATAAAGATTTTAAACTTTTTAAATCTTTTTATGTTTACATTAAACTTCTTTTTATTACTTTCATGTAACCCTTTCCTTTTTTTGCAACATTTTTTTAAAAAGATTTATAAAATTTTTATACTATTTAAAAAAAATTGTAAAAGCAAATTTAAAAATATAATACAAGCTTAAAATGTTGTATTAAAATGTAATTTCTTATAAACTTTTAATTAAAACGTAAAAAAAGTTGTATTTTTCAAAAATATTTAAAAATATTTTCGTTTAAATGCAGGTGTATTAAATTTGTACGAAAATGTAAAAAAAATTAAAAACTTATAACCCAAGTTTAAGATATTATATAAAAAAAATGAAATAAGTAGGAATATATGGATTAATTATAAATGTCTTAAAAAAGGAAAAAAAAAAAGAAAGTAAAAAGTAAAAACTAAGTGTACAATAATACAGAATTGTGATATGTGATTTTTTATTGTAATTGTATTTACTAATTATTTGTATTGATAATATGATTTAAATGGTACTTTTTAATTAATTAGCAAAGATTGGGCCTACCATTCACCTTGATGCAGTCAATTCTCACATCACTCCGTCTTTTGGGCCTACATAGTTGAATCCCTATTGTAAATCCATCTCCTAGGCTCCTAGCAACTTGCTAGGGGTGGCTTTTTCTCGTTCGCCGGTTCAAAAAAAAAAAAAAAAAAATTGAAAATCGTTGTTATTAATTTAATCTTTAATTAAATCAGACAAAAACTTATCAAATATTAAAAGCAACCCTTAACCATACGCTAGAAAAAGTTGAACCGCAACTATTCGAAGTTTACTGAATTATGAACAGCATTCAATTAATAAATTCCACCAAGCAGTCTATATTAGTCTACTTCCGTAGATGCCAAAACAATGGTCAACATTTTATTTAAATGGGCATTATTCAATTTGCATTGGCAAAAAAAAAAATCAAAAAATAAGCAATGAACTAGGGTTTGAACCGTCCCCACCAAATGCAGTTCGACACCATATCTATCATGGAGACGATTAAACCATATAAAATGAAGCACAAAAATATCAAAATAAAATTTGGATACAAAAATTATGTACGAATGAGGCAGAAGAAAATAAGACTTGAAAGTGTATATTAAAAAACCTAATAAAAAAATATTATTAAAAAATTATGTAATGGATCAAAATGTAACTTTAAAATATAGTAAGAGATCAAATCATAATGTATAAAATATAAATTATTTAACTTTAAAATTATGAGAGATAAAAACTATTAAATAAACATTAATTAAAGGGAAAAAAATTAAAATATTAAAATCTTCTATCACCAGAATCTAAATGGTTATTTTTAAAAAAAACTGTTGTTTTATATTTTACCACATGTTTGACAATATATAACATGATTTGTTTTTAATAAATTTTGATTTGGAAATAGAAAAAACAAATGAAGAGTGAAACCACCTCAAAAACCATATTTTGTATTTAATATACATAAGTATTCCATCACTCCTTGCATTGCACGTTTGCGGTGGAGAACTCATTTACAAAGTAAATCATAAAAACATAAATAAGGTTTTGAACCAAACAATTATGTATGGAGAAGTCACACGAAATATAGTTTGAAAGTGAATTTTGAATATATTAATTAATGTTTAAATATAGTAGTAATATTAATAAAAATAAAAACTATAAAAATAATTATGTATATGACCAAAAACATAACTTAAAAATATAAATAGGAGAAAATCAAATCTTAAAAATACCAATAACTTAAGTTTAAAATTATGAAGTTGATTTAATCAAAATTATTTTAGGGTAGAAAATGTAAATATGAGAATTTTTTATTATCATAATCAAATTTGTTATTTTTAAGGAAAATGTTTATTTAGAACTTATATTATATTCTATAAACTTGTATATTGATATGTGTTTTTTATCCGAGAAAATTACTAATCTAACCAAATTCATTAATGATTTTAGATAAAAAGTACGAATAGTAATTCTCTTTTTATCTGTCATTGGTTTAAAAACATATGAACAGCCTACGAAAAGTGAGAAGCATAGTAAAACTACCTCACAAACCACATTATATGCAAATTAAAATATATTAATTATGATGTGGTCTATTCTTAATTTTTTCTTATGCAATATTCATTTCAGCTTTTCATATTGTTGTTTTCTGTGTTGCTTTTTGTTATTAATAAAAGAGAGAATTACTAATCTAGTAATTTTCCTTAATTATCTATGTAAAAATAGTCAAAAATAAACAATTGTCCAAAAACAACCCATAAAACCGTAGATAATTAGAATGATCTACTATTTCGCCAAATGGTCTACAATTTTGGGTTAACTATAAAAAATAAAAATAAAAATGAAAATCTAAAACCGTATGTTATTTTATAACTTACGGTTTTCTCTTCACGATCTACGGTTTCCAAAACCGTAGTCTACGGTTTCAGTAATATTTTTTTTGTTTTTCGAAAAAAAATCAAAGAATCATAATATATATAATTTTATACAGGTTACAACCATTTAAAAAAACGAAAAAGTAAAATAAAATCCGTAGGTTTTATATGAAACCTACAGTGTAAAAATCCACAATGCACAAACTGTGCATTGTGGACTTGTATACCGTAAGTTTCTTATGAAGTCTACTGTTTACTACTTTTTTTTTCGGTTTTTTCTAAATGTTATCCCTATGTACAAAAACTATTCCTAATCAAGAGTACAGTAAAATTTCGGTAAAAAATAGACGTATCTCTTTTTCTTTGGGTGCTCCATCGAGAAAAAACAGTAAAGACCCAAAGGAAAAGTAGTAAAAATGACCTAATCTGAAAATCAATACATTATATATTATGAGCTAATAGGCCCCAAAAGAATAGACGAGTCGGAAAACAGTAGCTCATTGCTTTAGAACCGTAGACTTCACCCCATTGACCGTAGTCAACGCTAGCCAGGCTTTTTGGCTAAAGTCGTTTTTTGGCTATTTTTGGATAAGTAGTTAGTAAAAATGGCTAAATTAGTAATTCTCTCTTAATAAAATGAATTTGATTAAAAAGAAAAAAAAATAATAAAAAAAAAGTAGATAATAAAATTT